CATCAACAGAGAACCGGAAGATTTAAAAAGTAACCCAACAAGCCAGGTGTGTGGCTCATGCCTGGAATCCCAGCACTTTGGGAGGCCAAGGTGGGCGGGTTGCTTGAGCTCAGGAGTTCGAGACCAGCCTGGGCAACATGGTGAAACCCTGTCTCTACTAAAACTACAAAAATTAGATGGGCGTGGTTGTGCTTGCATCTGTGGTCCCAACTATTCTGCAGGCTGAGGTGAGAAGATCGCTTGAGCCCAGGAGGCAGAGGTTGCAGTGAGCGGAGATCACACCACTGCACTCCAGCATGGGTAACACACTGAGAATCTGTCTTTAAAAAAAAAAAAAAAAAAAAGCCACGGCTTCTGTTAAAAAAAAAAAAAAAAGAAAGAAAAAAAAATATATAGGAATGAAAAAATAATGGATAAGCTAAACAGCAGATTAAACACAATTTAAAAATTAATGAAGAAGCTATATCTAAGAGGTCACTTATAATGTAACACTGAGAGACAAAAGGATGGAAAATATTAAAGGGTAGGTAAAAGTCACTAGAAGACTGGATGTGGTGGCTCATGCCTGTAATCCCAGCATTTTGGGAGGCTAAGGCAGGAGGATCACTTGAGGCCAGGAGTTTGAGACCAGCCCGGCTAGCAGCAAGACCCTGACTCTTGTTTTTTTTTTTTTTTTTTTTTTTCAGTAGAGACAGGGTTTCACCATGTTGTCCAGGATGGTCTCAAACTCCTGACCTTGTGATTCACCTGCCTCAGCCTCCCAAAGTGCTGGGATTACAGGCGTGAGCCACTGCGCCCGGCCAGACCCTGACTCTTAAAAAAAAAAAAAAAGGCTGGGTGTGGTGTGTGGTGGCTCATGCTTGTAGTCCCAGCTATTCAGGAGGCTGAGGTGAGAGAATCACTTGAGCCCAGAAGTTGGAGGCTGCAGTGATCATGCCACTGCACTCCAGCCTTGGTGACAAAGCGAGACCCTGCTTCAAAGAAGAAGACAGATAAGTCCTTGGGAGTCTCAGGTGGAGGAAATATATAGAGAATGAGCGATAAGCAATAATCAAAGAGATAATGGCTGAAATTTTTCCATAAAGACTTCCACAGACTTCAAGTCCCCAGACTGAAGGAACAAACTGAAGCCAGAGTAGGGTAAATAAAAATAAATGTATATGCCGGGTGTGGTGGCTCACACCTGTAATCCCAGCACTTTGGGAGGCCGAGGTGGACGGATCATGAGGTCAGGAGATCAAGACCATCCTGGCTAACACGATGAAACCCCCTCTCTACTAAAAATACAAAAAATTAGCCAGGCGTGGTGGCGGCACATCTGTAGTCCCATCTACTCAGGAGGCTGAGGTGAGAGAATCACTTGAGCCCAGAAGTTGGAGGCTGCAGTGATCATGCCACTGCACTCCAGCATGGGTAACACACTGAGAATCTGTCTTTAAAAAAAAAAAAAAAAGCCACGGCTTCTGTTAAAAAAAAAAAAAAGAAAGAAAAAAATATATAGGAATGAAAAAATAATGGATAAGCTAAACAGCAGATTAAACACAATTTAAAAATTAATGAAGAAGCTATATCTAAGAGGTCA